GACCCTCAATACACATAGTAAAACAAAACAAAAGAGAGTATGAAACCAATTAATTAACAGTAACATAAATGACAACCTTTCAATTCTAGAAATTTGTTTTTACCTTGTTGCATTATGATTTTCAATAAGAAACCAAACCGGTTCAAAGGTCTTGAGTGCAAAGTTACCACTACCTATGAATTAAAAATACATTTTTAACAATATCTATTTGAGTTTTGAATATAAAAAGAACACCAATGTGCAATAAATTCAAAGATAACTAGTGTCAGACACTATGATCCGTATCTCATGGGCAAGACACAATACACAGAATCGGCGATGTTTGTTTACAGGACATAACTTGGTATACTGTACATGAAAAACATTACAGTGCGATAGCATAGGAAAAGATAAATGTTATGGTTGTGAAAACAACCACGTGAGATATAAATGACTAGGAAAGGCAATACGATTGTTTAAAATAGTGTTTATATACTTATCTTAGCGTTCTTCTAGGATTGTATGCTTTGAAATTTAAGTGATCCTTATTAAACTTTAGCTAGCCCTAACACTGGCAGCGTAGTGCACGGGTCGAAGACCATCATGCATACCTAACTATGCCGTAGATGTGCAGGGACCTAGGCCTAATATTTGTTGAAAAATCTCAATGTTTGCGGCCAGTATCCTTTATAACATTAGCAAACCATTAAGGCAAAATTCTCAAGTTCCAACCAATTTGGTAGTTTACTGGGAATTATGATGGTCTTTACAGCAAAACAAGGGATGGCAGCAATAGCAATCTTCATGCAAAACACCATATATGAATATGAATATTTTGTCTCTGATTATTGTGTTAAGTTAGGGTTTTTATTTTTTGGTAAAAAGTAAAAAATGTATTCTCACCTCCTGGAAACATTTTCTGTAATTCTTCATCAGTAAATTGCCTAAAAATACAGAGTATATTTATCTAAACATTAGGCTAAAACATGAGCAACATATTGATAAATTAGCAATCACCTTAAACAAATATGCCTTATACCAACATGGTACTGAGTCAGTTATGACCAACATTATTTACATAATAGTTCAACAGTAACATACAAAAAAGTATATGGACAGTACGTTGTTTGTTTTTATTTACTTTCACTACAAACAAGACCATGGAAGTCACTTGTACAAGGTAAGGAGATACTATTGTATATTTTTATTTATTTTTTAAACATTTTCTTTGAAATCTAAGAAATTTTGCGCTAAGGCTAAAAACATAGCATGAAAGATTTTACAGCCGATTAGCAATGCACATTTTGTGTTAATAACAATGTACTACTAGATTATATCATCCTATTTTTAAAAACAATACAGAAATAATTATTCATGAATAAAACCTTAATCCCAAGTTTTACAATGCTATGTTTTTTATATAGATCAAGTATTTACATAGATAAAAAAAATCGTTGATAAGCAAAAAATGTTTTACTTACAATGGACTTTCAACAGAAAGACCTAATGGGTCATCACGATTCCCAACATGCAGAGGTGATGATGGTCGATTGACAGTTCCGATACGCTTCTCAAACTGCATGGGCTCATCAACCCAGATTGCCACTTCCTGAAGTGGTCCTGGGATGATGTTCAGTCCACGAAATTTGACCGTGCTAGTACCGACACCGCCCGATTTAGTGGCGACTATGACATCCCCATTACCTTTGCAGTTGGTGGTGCGGCAGACAATTTTGGATGGAGAGTGCCATTCGGCTGATAACAATACATTTGCATTACAGATGTACAAGCCTTTAATAAATATGCAAGAGAAAATACAACAGGTACTATTACGGTATTAGCAGTGAAAAATAAAATTTAAAAAAATATGGAAATAGATTAGACAAATATAATTAGAGCTAATATTATCATTTAAACTTTTTTTACATTTTACAACTGATGTGTTCACAATGCAATGTGATCAATATGGCGCTATTACAGGAACTTATTAACATATTTTATAATCATTTTGAATTTGTTATACTCACCAACTAAATCCTTGGAGCTGTTACCCAAATTTTCACCCCGAATTGTTACTTTGGTGCCAGGAGGCCCTTGGTTAGGTGATAGACCAGTGACTTTTGGGGGTACCTTCCCCTTTTTATTAGCCATATTGGAACTCTTCTAAAAAAAAAAACAACACACAGATGCAAACATACAGATAGAAAATTGTTAAACAAACTGAACTTCCAATATAACAGTGACTTTTAATTTTTTTTATAATGGGTCTGGGCTTTGGCCTAGTTAGGCTAGGCTAAATAAAATCATGACTGCAGTATTATAAACAGTGTAGGGCCTAGGCTAAGCCTAGTAGTTCCCTCTCTTTGTAGGCTATACCTCTCGATTCTATCTATAGGCCTAGGCCTAGTCTTGTTATTAAAACATATGAAGTCCCACTCACTGAGAGTGACGGCGGTGGTGGTGGTGACGAACTGTGCTCACTGCATGAGTGCTACTACTACTCTAGGACTCAGGAGGCTACTACTACTACTAGCAGTCCGTATGCTAGCCTATTGTATTGGTCTCGGTGTTGTAACAGTCAAAAATACAATTATTTACCAAAAACAGACATATGCTACTTGTACTACAATGTTCGTAGTATCTTAATGCTAGTAACCGGAAATAATCAGCGTTGGGCTAGGCACCAGTAAGGACCTTGTTTTTGTTTTTTATTATTTTCAAGAACCGGAACACGCCCTCTTTTTTCATTGACCGTGAGGGCGGTTTCAATATGTCAGCCTCCACGTATATTTGTTTTCCGACAATTTTATTTGCTTTTATCAACTATGGTGTTGAGTGTAGCTAATTTTTGATGTGGTATTAAACTTAATGATGGAAACAGAAGACAATCTGTCAAGACAGGTGCGTATTGAAGATGTGTGTATGTTGAAAAATGAACCAGTCATCGGTTATCAAAAGCTAGGCCTTCCACTTGACTTTTCTCTATAATGCACACACAGCTCAGAAGAGGGCAATCCAGTGACTTTGAGACCAGGAAGGCCTGTAGGCTGTAGTGCTAAGCTAGGGCCTAATTATTAATTAATAATATTCTTATAAATATATTTCCACCGTCTTAATAGTTGTGGGGGTTGAGCTGTTAAATAATAACTAGGGATAACTAGATCATTAAGCCCACCATTTATGTTATAATTTATTAATCTTTTGATTGAAATAAAGTTTGAATCTATTAATTGAAAAAAATCTTGAATTTAGGTTGAGGAGGTTGAAGCATTAGCTGCCATTTACGGTGATGAATGGTGCGTTGTTGACGAGGCCAGTAGAATTTTTTGTATCGCTGTAACTGATGGAACTGAAATAAATCCAAGGAAGGTTTGTTTACAGGTAATTATTTATAATAGAATTTACATTTTTAATACCTCAAAAAAAACCCAAAAAAACTTCTATGCTCCTTCATATACAGTGTAGTGTAAATAAGTCAACTAGTTTTCTTTTTTAATGTATAGATTAAAAATTATTTGTGTTTTGATGCAATATAGATATATTGATAGAAATAATTTTATATATTTTAAATTTCAAGGTGATGTTGCCAGCAGACTATCCATCCATAGCTTGTCCAATTTATCAGATTAAGTGAGTGAAATATGTTTCCTATTTTGATTTTGCTGAAAAAAGGTGAAAAACAAAATATTACCCTAAATGCTCGAATACGCACCAAACATGATTTTGTTGTTGTTAAGCACTGCTTTCAAATAAGCGCCACTGCACTTAATCGAGAGTATATAATATTACCCTGTTTGTAATGAAACAGGGTTTGAAATTCAATGTATACAGTGTTAATATGAATACCGTAAATAACACAATGAAGACACAAGCATTTCTTATAAACGTTTGTTTACGATGATAGGACCTATGATAGGCCTACTGAACTACGGGAAAATGTGAAATAGGTAGCATGGAAACGGGCAAGGACAGCGCCACGCCAATATTTTTTATAAGTGCTGCTCTCGAATAAGCGCCGCACTGAAGCCACCAAAAATTTTATAAGCGTAAATAAATCATCGTCAAGAATGAGAAATGTTATTCTTAATCAGTGTTATACCACATGTCATTATCATAATTTATTATTTCAGTGCACCATGGTTGAGAGAAAATGAAAGAATTGAATTCTCAGAACGATTATCACATGTGTGTCGGTAGGTTTCCAATTAATATCACGGAGATTGGCGAAGGTAGGTGTTTAGTGATAATGAAAACTATTTTATTTTTTTAATATAGAATCTGAAGTACAAAGGTATTTTACTAAATGATGAAAGCTTTGAAATATAAAACATGAAATAGTTCTTAGAAATAATGTTGCTCTATTTATTAATTTAGTTGTTGAATAATTAAAAGGTTATCAGGTTTTTCCACCTGTTTTAGTTTTCATAATTCTGTGTTTGTCGTTGATTTTACTTATGACCTATTTGCAATTATTTCAGAATTTGAAATATCTTATATTCACCATGGAGAGGCTTTCACAGAAAGGAGAAGTACATTTCAGGCACACCTTGCACATGTCATCACACCTGGCCAGGTAAATATAAAGTCTAAAAGTATGCTTTTTTTCCTGCCTATAATATGATTACAAAGTGATGATTAATTTGTAATGATTATGATGTTGACGACATAACATATGACAAAACTACAGAGAATACATTACAGAGTAAAAAGACATTTTTTTTTTGTGCTTGAACACGATCAAATAATATTGATATCTAAGCAGCCACATCATATAACAATGGCATCACATAGTAACCACATACCAGACATATTTACATAGCACAAGCATATCACAAAGCAACTACATAGCATTCATATCACATAGCAAGAGTGTCACATAGCAACCGGATTGCAACTATATTACATAGTTTAATTTTCACCCTGAATGGCAACTTACATGATATTAAATTTTTTTTAATAAAAATTGTCATTGATTCTGTAAATTTGTCTGTCCCTATCTATTATTCACCACGGTATTGTTATTTTTCAGGTAAAGACTGTTATGAAGAAGCTTTATGAAAACCGAAAAATTTCAAATGCGACGCACAACATTGTTGCATATAGGTAAGTAAAGTGTTGACAGCTTCTGATTTTTATGGTAATGGTGGGATATTTGTAGTGCGCCTTCCACAATAAAATCATCTCAAGGCGCCGAAAAAAGGTAGGACCATGAATTATAAAAAATTAAATTATATTATATCTTATATTAATGAGCCTATATTAATCAGAATATTTTTTTAATTTTATTTAATATAAGTTAAATAAATATAAATGAATAAAGTAGATAAATAAACAAATAGAAAATAAATAAAAATATATAAATAAATAAATAATTGATAAATTAAGCCACAGGCAGACCAAGAATGGGAAAAAACAAGCAGCAACATGAAAAATGCGCACTCCTGTTGTTGAGGCAGTGTCACCACCACTACCGCGTACACGCAGTTACTCCGGCGACAGTATGCTGGGCTCCGGTAGCTTCCACCTTGGATAAGCCTCGGCTCTACTACCGTGCACTGCTAAGGTGGCGACGCCGGCTCAAGTAAGGGAGTTGCGACTTAAGGAGGTTGTTTATTTCACAATAATGTGTTATTGCTGATGTAAAAAAAATTAGTGGTTTAATATCATCTACATATTGAATAAAATAGCCTACCAACCAACAAATTAATGATGTTAAAAAGGTTAGCGGTTTAATATATACTACATGTGGAATGATAATGCCTGTCAACCAAGAAAGTAATACTTTTCGACAGGATTTTTTGTGAAGACAAAGGTACATTTATGCAGGACTGTGATGATGATGGTGAAACAGCGGCTGGAGGCCGACTACTTCATCTCTTACAGGTTAGAAAACAACACCTTAGAAAGAATGATATTTTTGCCCTACTAGGCATTTTAATGTACTGAATGCTGAGTACGTTCACAAATACAAACAAATTCTCCCAAGTGATTCGGGGGGAATCGAACCAACAACCTCCAGATAATTAGTCAGGTGTCTTAAACACTAGACCACCGATCTTGAACAGTCTCTGATTCAACACTAATCACTCCATTCCTAATTAATTTCCTGATGCAAAACACCATCGAATAACATCTTAGTAGCTTTATATATGAAATTTTTCCCACTAAAATTTATTTCTAAAATGTATATGATTTTAGTTTGATGAATGAGTAAAGATAAAAATTAGCTTAATATTTTTATTCATTGATAATTGTTTTCCAGATTTTGGACCTTCGAAATGTAGTGGTAGTTGTATCTAGATGGTACGGAGGTATACTGCTAGGCCCTGATCGATTCAAGCATATCAACAATTCTGCCCGAAATCTCATACAGCAACTCGGTCTTATAAAGGTGAGGGATAATTAAAATATTTTTTACACTCCTCCAGTAGTGTATCTTGGAGGGGGGTGCTAAGGGGGTGCAAGGGTGAAGTGGGAGGGGGTTTGATGATTAAGTGAGGGAGAGCTAGCTCACAAAATAAGGTGATTTTTATCTACTTGAGCATGATATTTTTGCTTCATATATTTTCAATGAGGGACAACCGAGGGGGTGGGGGGTGGGGACGAATTTATTAGGGGGCATGCACATCCCCCAAGACATGCCACTAAATAAAATGTAGACATACAGTACTCTAGTAATCATTCATTTCTGACAGTTCAACCAAATGTGCATTTGGGGCAAAGTCCAATCATTTGTTGTGTAAATTATCCAGTATTAAATTGATTAAATGTTCTCAAGTGTGCAAGATGTGCTGATGATTGATAGATATTCATTTTTGGTTGGTGGTTTACTCTCAAGTAGAATGAAGTTAAATATAAAATAATTATCAATTGTTATGAATACATTTATGCTACCAAATGTTACAATCCTTTAAACAAATAATACATCTGATGTATGCTCAACAATAATATATAACGTATTGCACTGAATGTTGTATCGTTAGCCATGGAGGTGCTATATAATGTAAGTCAGTTGATAAAAAAAAACTCTTTTGTTTTCAGTATGAACATACCACAGTTTTCAACATTGTATCCCTATGAAATTGTTGCAATAAATCTATATATCTGTACAAGCATGCATGCCATGACTCTTTTTCTACATTTGTATTTTTTTTTTATTACATAGGCTCATTGTATCCCTATGAATTTGATTCAATAAATTGGTATATCTGAACGTCTATGACTCTTTTATTTAAACTCAGGCCCCCTTGCCAAAAAACTCAGGAATTGTTAATGGGCTACTGATATTTAAACATTAAAAATTGGGGGAAAGGTAGAAAAAAGGGTGGTTATGCCCCTTCCTCCCCAGTTTTTAAATATTTAAAAATTTGTATCTCATTAACTGTTCCAAAGTTTTTGTGTCTTATTAGAAATTGTTTTCCTTTGGAGCCTGGCTTTAACATCATAAGCAGTGTTGAATTTCTTTTCACTTTTTTTGTCTGAATTTGTCCATTTTATTATGAATGGTAATGCTTGTAAAATTTGTAAATGTAAAACAATAGTAAATGAATTTCACAACACCACTCCCTAAGACTCTTAAGAATGATGACTCCAATGAGGAGTATTAGTCCGGGGCAGATTTAGAAGGAGCCGGAGCGCGAGCCGGAGCGGCCCCCCTTTTTTTTTTTTGGAAAGCAAAAAAAAAGAAAGAAAAAAAAGTAAGAAAAAGAAAAAATTAACAGTGGTTACCTTCGGGCATCTAGAACACAGAAATTTCGCGGGGCATTCCCCCGGACTCAGTATCATTATCTCAGTCAGTTAGGGTATCATTATCTCAGTCAGCCCCACTTTCACCCCCTTCCGGCTCCCCCTTTTGGACATCTCTGGATCCCCCTGTTAGTATTAGTAGGTACCTGGTAGGATGTCGTGGCATTGAATATGTTGATCTACCCCTAGATACGCCCTTATCGCATGTGTGGGAAATAATTTAGTGGTCAATTTGTTACCACTTCACGAGCCACTGTTTATTCTCAATATCTGCTCACTCAGTGTTTATAAATTGCAATATAGATACTGCTGTCTCTTATACACATCTAGATGTGTATAAGAGATATATATATATATATATATATATAGTATATATAAGTATATTGCTATTCTGCCTATCATTTCTTCACAGACTGATGCAAACAATACCAAAGGCAAGAAAAATAAGGCTAAGAAGGCAAGGTGATACAGTAACAGTGATGACGCAATTAATACCAATGTCTTACTCGACCAAAAACGAAAATTACTATTACTAATTACTATTACTATCCGTAATTCGTGGACATTTTTATCAAACAAAATTTGTATGTGATGTAGGGTGTGCCATTATGTCAAATATAGTAACTGGCAGTCAGGCATTGCTGAGTTTTAAACATAATTTACTTGTAATTACTGTACGATTTAAGTATACAGGTTAAAAAATACTGTAATATAGTAAGATTAAATACCTATTTTCAATGAGAGCTGAAATTTATCCAAGAATCCATTTAAAGAATAAAGATTTTAGTTAATATTTTAAACAATTATCTTGGTTGTAAGTGCCTATTTTCCTTTGTGATTTTTATAAAGATAAAGCAATTTATTTCTTCAACATCCAACAGCGATATCGCCCATTACAGGATGTCTTACACATACAGGGTCAAATTAACATAGGGGATTTTGTGGCACCAGGCCCAAGCCCCAGTGGGAGAATATAGGCTCCCAAACCCCAGGAAAAATCACCGAAAATCTGGTTTTATGTTTTAGCCACAGAGTATTTAGGCCCACTTGTAATTACAGCCCCAGGCCCCAGAGCCCTTTAGTCCGGCCCTGTACAAATACAATATATAAATATATAGTAAAATTCAAAAACTACACAAAATAACAAAGGTAAACAAAATCGACAAAACTCGATAAAATTTGGAAAGTGTGTTTGTAAAGTGATTATCCAGTCGGATGGTGATGGATGGGTGGATGGATGGATAGATAGATGTGGTTGGATGGATGAAGGGATAGGATGGATAGATGGATGGATTAGATAAATGGATTCACTCCCGAACTAATGGATAGACGGACAGACAGACAGATGAAATAATGGATGGATAGACTCCAGGATCGATGACTGGATGGATAGACGGACAGAAGATTAATGGATAGATGAATGAATGAATGGATTTTTGGGTAGATGGATGGATGGATAGATAAATTCATCATGAAAAAACTAACGAAAAGTAGGAACTTTCATAACATCACAATTAATGTCACTAATAAGTTTTAAAATTATGAGCTATAGTGAGAGATGAAATTCTTCTCACATCGAGTAATTAACATTTGGAACAGCTTACCAAAAGAGGTTGTTGCTGCCACAACGTTAAACACCTTCATGAACAGACTGGACAGCTGTGGGGTCTGAAAGGCGTTTGGCTATCTTTTCCCTCTTATATCGAAGTTATAGTTAACAACTAAACCAATACACGTATAGCTGTATATCTATTAACAATACCTTCGCCAGAACCTTTGAGTTACTCCATCTAAAGTCTCTAAAGTTTCCTTTTTATAATTTCAACAAACAACAACAAAATTATACAAGGAACTTTCTCTGGAATGAGTTAGATGTCAATATTATTAATTCAAAAAAATTATCTATCTTTGTATTCAAACTAAACTTCAAGCGTTCATGCCAATTTTACTTGATTGCTTTTGATTTAGCATATACGTCTATATGCGTATATAAATGCATATGTGTGTGTATCATGCGGAATTATGTGTCTAAAGCACATACATGCATAATGCGTGTATCCAAAAATTTCTTTATTTTGTTTAAATTTCGTTATTTGTGACAAGAGACTTCGTCTTCTAGTACAGATCTCATGTTTTTCTGTAGGCCTATTCATTTATGTACATATTGTTGTTGTAACAAAAATTCTATTGTAATTATTATTTACCATTAATTGAAATAAATGTTGATGAAAAACGAAAGAACATAAAGCCCAACGTGTGTATATAAAGCACACATAATAATTTAAAGAAATAAATAAATTGGTTTAAGAATGATTAGAAGTGAGCTCAGCAGTCGCCTCGATACCATTATGGTTTTAAGTGCGCCGTAAATTTGATGTTATCTGTAGGTTTAATGTGCTACCAAAGAGTTCAGAGGTTTCATTAATCACATCACATTCACTATAATATAGAAAATGATTGTTACATTCTAAGATAACTAGCTGTACTAACAAATGTAAATACATTGTCTTTATTATTTTGTTAACTAACTAATTATCTATACAATTTTTGATATAATTAGGCTCCACTCACGACTCCCGTCGATTTAATGTTTATGTACAGAGAATATTAGTTCAAAATGTGACGTCTTGGAAGACATTTACTAGGCGCTAAAGTAGCAGGCGACATCATTCCCACGGATGTTGCACCACATGAAAGTAATCAGCATGCATGAACATCAATTGGACTGAACTTGGCTCTGTTGATTCTAACCGAGGCATACGATACTCATCAACAGACACTTCATCATGTTGAGATTTAATTGGTGCACTGGTATTGGATACAGTGTAAGCTACTTCAGTCCGAGAAGTTAAATTAGTACTGTATCTGATTCATCTGAATCAGCTGCGTTTGTCTCAACAAAGCGGTTTCAAAATAAATTGTAAATTTAAATAATAAGTGGGTTTAGCAGAAGGTGAAAAATGCACAATTATTCATACCCAGAACAAGAAATAACAGCTTTTCTTTTCGCTGATATTCTGTATTATGCTATTGTTATACCTTCGGTGTATATAGGAAATCTGGCCACGATAATACTTCTATCGATCGTCTTCCGTACACGCCGAAAACCTGCCGATCTTCTCGTCGCGTTCATGGCGACAAATGATTTCTTTCTCGCGATTTGTTTGTGTACACCAACACTGATAGCTACGGGGAGGGGGGAGTGGTTTGGAAAGACATACTGTTACGTGTATTCCCATTTCTATTGCTGGTACCTCCACATCAAGTTTTTCATTGTGATTTTGATATCAGTGGATCGGTACATTGCCGTCACGAAACCTTTTCAGTACAAAGTGATCGTCACGGAAAGGAATATTTCAATTATGGTGGTCACTTACGCATTGGTCACTTGTTTAGTTGATGGTTTGGCTTTCTTTTTCACCGAACCCATTCTGATGTCCGGTTGGTTCTGCTCACTTCGACTCTGGAAGGAATCTGAGGATGGAGAGAACTCAAATGTTGGACTGGCTGTGTTTTTCAATGTACTTGTGGTAATGGGTTTTGTTGGGATCTGCCTTATGGTGTTTTGTAACTTGTCCCTAATTCATGTTTATAGGAAGAAAACTAATCTAGCGAAGTCTGAAAAGAGGTTTATGTTTATGATGATTGTAATAGTGGTTGCATTTCTAGCAGTATGGTTGCCACATGGTGTAAGTTACAACTATATTCATTACTACAGCTTAATATATTGTTTGCATATGTTTAAATATCACTGAATTGTTCATTCTTGCTCGTAGGCATATGTAGTTAATACTTAACAGATCTGTGACCAACTCACCAATAAAGTGTTTTTCAACTTTTCTTAAAAGATGTGTTTATTATTATATTTATATAGATAATTTTGCTGATTTGTTTCAACTTTCGTGAATGGTGTCCGTTCGCGTTCTTTGAATCGTATCGCTGGATCGTAGCAAGCTCTGGGTGGAGTCCATTCATTTATGGACTTATGAAACCTGGTTACAGAGAAGGTTACTGGATTCTGGCCAAGAAATCTCTTCATATACTCACTCTTGGCCTATTTGGCCCATCACAAGGTAGCCCTTTTTTTACGAATAAAATCCGGGTGCACTGCGTGTACCGCACCTCGGGAGCCGATGCGATTTCATGACTACGACGCGACGACGCATTATAGTGCAACGGATCGTAGTCAGCGACCGTTATTCATGGTGCAATGCGTCGGGAGAACAAGCGTTTACTTTTTTTTTTGGAGCGCCGACGACGTCCGTCGTCCAAACGGTCGTGACTGACGCGTGCGAGATCTTTAGATAAGTTGTACAGAATATAATATATAGTAATTTCTATATAGAAACCGTAAATATACGGTTATTGTGGCACCGTTCCTACTCTCACTCAATAAATTAATTAATTAAAAAAATGATCTTAATGCATCTTTCTTTTCTTAACGACTTAACAACTGACCAATCAGAACGCGTTATTTAATAGCAAGGGTACGCACAAATCCTACAATGCAGTTTTACTTGAAACGATATCCAAGGGGTGGGGTTTAGGGGAATAGTCAATTAGGCCTACTAATGTGAACTGTAAAACGTCGAGCAAATACCAAAGTAACATAGGCCTATACAATAAAGCTGCATTCACATCTGATCCATCCGAACCGAAATTCGGACCGCGTTTCAAGCGCTGAATGCCAGCGTCCCTATTCTTACACACTGAATCGATTTTCTGATCGGTTCGGTAGGCTTTCCGATCCGAAAATTCGGATTCGGTGTGGCTGCAGTAGGTTTACGTAAGAAAGTAAAAACATTATTATTATTATTATTTGTTTCAATAGGTATTGGTAATGAAACCATCTCCCAGCTCATACGTGAAAACATGGCCCCGCACATGCTTAGACACCCGAGTGGAATCATGCCAAAGAAAGATTATCGACCGAAATGCTCTCAAGAAAAGCAAAAATCAGTGCGTATAAAAGTTGGCAATCTAGTGTTGTCCCCTACTTCTTCGACATCGGACATAAACAGGTCTGAAAATCCTAAAGATAGGCCTATATCTACTACATCAGTAACACGCACAACTGAATTGAACGACGAAAACACATATATGGCTAATAAAGATAGGCCAATATCTAATACATCAGAAACACGAACAACTGAACTAAACGACGAAAACCCATATATGGCTGATACTGAAGAGAAACGAACAGATCATAATGAAATATCTGAAAGCATGCAAGATAGTCCTAGTACATCTGGATTTTCAAAATATTTTAGTAGGCCTATATTCAAGAATAATAACAACCCTACTATTCGAACTATATTTGTGAAGACTGCAGATAATAAAGATTGTGTAGGCCTAGTACCCAGATGAGTTCAGGATTATCGTCGGACAAAAAACACTAACCAACCGAACTGATCATTTCTTCGTTTTATCTCTGTTTTGTAGGCACAAAATGATGGCATACATATATAGCCTTATGCTGTGGTGGTGGAATTTCTCTTTAAACAATTTATTTAACAGGCATGCCAAGTACAATGTGAATGTAGTTAATCAGAGAATTGGCAATTGCTCATTGACAGATGACCAATGGCAGATAGCACATTGTCCGATAATAGACTACCTGTTCAGAGTAATTTTTACCTAGTTTATGGAGTATACTCGTGCTCCTATAAGTAGCCTATTTTTAAATGTCGCTTGAATTGTCTTGTTTGCTAGTTAGATATCTGGAAGGAGTTCCAAATAGTATTGGTACGTGGATACACGTTGATATACAAAGAGTAGAAGAGAAGTACTGTACAACATAATTAATTACGGAATTACGAAATTACAAAATTAATAGAGATTTGATTTACGGTATAGCGTGCTACAGTTTCTTTGTTGCTAGGGGAAGATCAGAATACCGACTGAAGTTCGTATTATTACTGTCGGTAGGTAATCAATCAAGATGCCATTTGTAAGGTAAAAGTCTAGGGAAATGCATGTCACTTCAGCAAGTTCTTATAAAGTCTGAGCCTCCAAGAACAACTTCAATAAGTTACTATTAGGCCTTTTGACAAAAAAAAAAAAAAAATCTGAATGATATGTTTATAACCACCAAATAAAATGGAACTTTGAGATAAACACAAATGTTTTCAGAGAATAAAACCATCGACATATTTGTTCGGTCCTTTTTTTTAATTGTATTTTTTCAATTCAAATCTGATCATGTATCTAAATACAAGTACGCCAACAATAATTTAGGAACCGTCAACTAAACAAATTAAATGGAAAACAATCTCCCACAAAAATAATCTGTGGGAAAATCGATAACAAATTACCAGCAGGCAGAGCTGGCTTTCCGGCATGTCAATCAAACTTAACTGACCAATCAGAACATCACTAAGATGACGAGCTTGTGTCATCAACTCACGTATATTTATGTAAGTTTACGTGGGACCTTAGCCGCAATATCCAAGGTGCGGTGCTTTGCGGAAAGGTCCATAATCTCCTTTTGAGAATGTGTTTATAAGGATATTTTAAACAATCAGTCTAGCGCCCTCATAGTATTTATCAGCCCACAAGAAATCAAAATTAAGCAATCGGATACATTATGAAATAGAAACTATAATTGAATTGATATGCATTAAATAAGACAAACTAATCAACCAATCAATTGATAATTAAACCTGGGTTAAACATTAAACCATCTTTCATTGGATGTTTTCCATCTATTATATTAAGCTCGATAATAAAATGCATAACAATTACAATTAGCAAATGCAAACATTTGTAGAAACATACAATTAACATATTTTCAAGTACATGTACCCACAATATACATATAAGATGAGAAACCTATATAAAAATGTTCTGAATAAATAGTTTATTGTGTAAAACTGGCAACTGGGTCCTTCCCATTATATTACCAATACATAAGCACATGCAACGCAATGAAAATTTTTCTGCAGCTACATTTTCACATAGCTAACAGTATTGCTGATTTAAATGGTAGTATTCGATTTTGGCGTCTAGCGGGGACATTAATATAAAGCTGAGCGTACTATGCACCGACGGTCACGACCAACATGGTTCCACGGAAAACAAAGCGATAAGGCGTGCATAAATGATTGTCTGCTCAGACAGCCAACGAAAATTGGCAGATAGCATCATCAAGCGCTCAGAGTGCAAAGACGGATTCGTTGGCCGACGATCACTACACGGTGTCTCCAGGTTAACTTATGTTCAAGGGTAGAGGTGATACAGGCGTAGCAGAGTGCAGTATAATTCTAACGTTCACAATGGCAAGCACAATTCTATGTGAATATATATATCAAAACAGTCCTCTTTATACAATATTTACACTCTAAAAACTTACATAACATTAAATTCATTTTGAAAACTAATTTCGTTTCCCTTAGTAGTATACACTTAGGCTAAGTAAAATTCGTTAAAAAAAAGCTGTAAAAACAATAGGAAAAGGGAACAGATATAGGAGAATATCTAAAGAAAATGTCTCATTAATGTTGTTTTAGAATTGACCAAAATTAAAAACAATACAAACATTACTATGGCAACAATATGTTGTAAGCGTCCAATAAAAGATTCTGAAAAACATTTAAACAGATAATTAAATATCTTATTCCTAAACGGAAGGAGCACTAAAACGAAATTACTAAAAAAATTACAAAATATGTGTGAAAACATGCAATTTTGCCTGTTAATTCTAAAAGGAATATTTAATATACCCCACAACACAGCAGAGAATCTATGCTTGATTATTATCGAAATATTTAATTAAATTTTAATAAAAAGCAGCACCAGATCTTGTCTCACAAATGAAACAACCAAATTTATTACTGTACATGAGTTAACAACATCCAATTACCTAGAAATATCTCATTACTACAATGTAATAAAAAAAAAAAAGTCTCAAGACTATTATTATAACATCTAAAAAAAATTGTAATAGTCATTTTATATTCCTAATCAATAATTGTATTTTCATCCCACATTAAAATTAGTTAAATCTTTAGTCATTTACAGTATTATAGAATGGGGGGAGGGAGATATTCCTACTCTACTTTATTGTAAGTTTGTATTTGTAATTAAAAATTTATCTATTATTTACATGCATACCGATACATTCACAAATAACCTATGATGAAGATCTGGTACAATATTTACAAGAATTAATCATCTTTTCTTTACAGGAATAATATACATTTCAAGATAAAACATACAACATGCACATCTCATTTAATAGTGAGGATATACCATGATCATTGAGAAAACTACTATTTCCATTGATTATTATACATACTAGTGCCAATGCTATACTACATCATGAATGTAATATAATATCCATCTAGACTAACTAATGTTTTATCAATCATATTGATAACTATATCTATCCAAGTAAAAATGTCTTGGAACCAAGACTGTTGTTGCAATTATCTCACCAATCAAAATGTAAAGTTGCTAAACAACATTTTATAAATCTTTATATTTATTATTCAGGTGCACATAAATTAAGTATTTTCAAAAATACTTTGATCTAAAACTTAGCTAACAGCAGTCAAATTGCTCTATAAATTGCTTATATTCATGGACTGGTATCATAGAAGTACAGTAGAACCCCTCCTTTAGGACAACCATATTAACGGGACACTCCTATTAAGGAACACTCAAAAAGAGAAAATATATCATTAAACACTACGGCCAACCCCCATTCAGGGAACACCTATTTTTTAGTCTCGAATGATTCCTCTTAATAGGGGTTCTACTGTAATTATAAAACACAAGTTTACTTTAAATTCAAATCCATTGATGAATTATTCCAGGTTATTTTTAAATTAAAATATCAAACGAACATTTGCAACAATGAAAAAATCTGAAGCAGTCCATTACTAGATTTATAAAATACCATGAGAAATAAATAATAATTGTGTGTACGATAAACTTTCGTTTCAATAACCATACAAAAAAAATTGTTGTATCACTATAACAAGGCAAAAGGTTGTTTTTTTTAAATATTTATAGTTTCTTTCAAAAACATGAATTTGAGTTTAATAGTAATAATATAGTATTAATGACAGTAATTCAAACATAAGAATACTCTTTATTAAAAATGGGCAAATGAGATATGATCTTATAACAACACAATACAAAAAAGTTGTGGAAGATATATCCACTATTTTAAATACTTAACGATTAGATTCAAATTGCTTGAAGGTGAGACGGTTACCAAGAATACGGACTGCAAACCCATCATGCTTTGCAATCGCCATGTTAGTGCTTGTCGTGCCCATTTCCTGGATGGTATTTCCTATCGTCATGCTGATTATACTTCAAAACCTCTCCTTCACTCATTCGCCGATTACCGTGTCCTTTATCTGAATTAGGCAACCGACTATCGTCGCGTTCAGACTGACTTCGATGATATTCATGATCTTTATTATTGGTTGTTTCTTCAGTGGCTTTTCCTTTGGAGTCTTCTTTCGCCGATTCCTTCTCTTTTCCATCACTGTCTTTTTTTTGTCGTTTATTTCTCTCCATTTCTTCTTCATTTTTTCTCTTCACGGCCGCTTCATATCCATCTGGTTTAAAGGCGTTGGTTAATGCTTTGAGTTTTTCATCGGTTGGTGGCCACTTTTCAAATGCTGTATCATTTTGCAGGAAGAATATCGTAGTCGCCTGAGTTGAACGGATGAATAAATCTCTCCTAAAAATATAACATAACAACAGTTAATCATTTTGCATTGGTTTTGGACAATTTTTTATTCAAAAAACAGAATGGTCATAACGAAATTTAATATTGAATTATAACTTTTAAGCTAAAAGTAATGTTAACAGGTTTGAGATAAAATTATAAACAACTTGATTTAGTAAAGGGATTATATTACTATTCACTATTTCTATTCTATTCCAACAGTGACTTGGCAGATACAGACAGGAAAAATCTGAATATGAGGCATATTGGGAGCAGGGACATCTCATTGATTGCAGAATTTGAACACAGGAATGTAGGCTTGGAGGGCGAGTATATAAACCAACAAACTACAACACCAATTAAAAAAAAAAAAATGAACTTACTCATCAATAAAGTGTTGCATTCCATGACGGAACTCATGTTCGTATCCTGGAACCACAATATGTTTTCTCTTGAACCTTAAAATTAAAAAAGAAATGAATACATTAATAACTTAGAAGCAGTATCAAACATTCAGGATTAGGGATTGTGATTGAAGAAACTTCCATTATTACTCCGTATATCTTTTGTTAGTAATTTTACTCACAAACCTCTTTGATGTAGGCTCAAGCAATTCTTCCAGAATCTTAATAATGGCTATTTTTTTTATTTTGCAAAAGATTAATTTAAACCTAAGACTTATATTTAATCTTTAAATTGCAATTACTATATATGTATTATTTTGTGAAATTGTACTGTTATATAAACTAATCTTTTGAATTTAAGTATAGAGTTGTATTAGTTAAGTGCGGGGTTGCCGCTTTTGCGAGTTGTACATAAATAAATTTAAAGACACACTTACTCGCTTTTTCCCATCTTGTCAACTACAGGATTAGAACTCTTTCGTTGGTCCGGTAAGAAGATGACAAATGATAATGGCTCTCCTGTCTTCTCCAATAACATCTGCAATTTACATACCAATCATAACAATTTAAAAACATATATTGTGTAGTGTGTAATGATATTAAACCTGAATGTGCAATACAGGGACTGGCTATTTCAGAGGTGTATTTCACCTGTTAGCCTTTCCCTTCATTGCCAATGTTTTTATATGTTTTTAGAAGTGTCATTTCTGCCAAGAGAATTTGAATAAATAAATAAAATAAAGTTGACTTGGTCATTCTCCATAGTGAGGAAATAATAATAAAATTAATTATTATTACTGTACACCTATTTTTTTATTTGATAACTTCTATGGGTGAAGACCTCTTCATGGCCTAAAGGGTCTGCCATGGGTTGGGGAAACTACTGCACAAGAGTGCATAGGCATTATGCGCCTCATTGTAGTACGTTTCTATGTACGCTTACCTCCACATGCTTCACCATGGCTTCTATTGCTGCATCACAAGGTGGTGGGAAGGCCTGGAAAGATCCACTAATGGGTCGGAAATCTTGAAAAGGCCTATAAGATGTTAATATAATTAAAAATATTAATTAATATAAATTTCTTAATGTTATATGTAATTGTATTAATATTACTTAGAATTGCTATCCTATTGATATTACTTACCCCCTTGAGCCGAAGTACCCATCTGTATCAAGAAAGAGGGAGCAATACTGTTTGAAGTAACAGTTCAAAGGTGAAGCAAAGCATTCAAACGTCACGCCAAACTGTTCCTGTAAGACTCGCATGACGGGCACAGGCAACGACCTCTGCAAAAACTCCCCTTCAATACGACTTAATCCAAAGAAAGTCTAAAAATATAAATATTGTTACTTATCTTGATCGTTGGACATTGACAGAAATATGTTACATAGATATATGTATTAAACAACATACATGAAGTCGTATGTAACACACGGTATAATTTGAAACAAAATTTTGAAATATTAACTTTACACATATTAACAGTTCCAAACACTTTGTATTCAAATTTGCCATACCTGATATCGTCTCAGCAAGCACCATGTTCTCTGGGGGAAGTTATGTAATGATTTGTCATCGTGACAATTTAACCGGTATAGTTGATCCTGTAAATTTAATCATTGATATATTATATTATAAGACAAATGCAAAATCTATATGTAAATGTTACATCTCAACTCCTTAATATTTATCTGATGTTAAAGAACCAATGAATCTTTGATATTTGGAGTCAACTTAAATATTAATAATGAAAATAACTGACTAACTCACAAGTTTCTGTATATAGCTTGCATTAACTTCTATCATTTCACCTTTATACCGTAATCTAGTGATTCCGGGATCTCGGCTGAACTCCACCGTGGGAAGTCTAGGACTCGGTATTACTAACTGTACTGGGTAGCAGTTGACCTTCCGCACAGCAGGTGGTTTCAAAGATGGAGGTTCTAGAAGTTAGAAATAAAATCAGACAATGTTAAAGCGAGGCAATTTTTATACCTTGTTTCACAAACTTACATTTTTTTTAAAACATCACAGGACAGAAAAAAAAATTAAAATAAAATGTTCTCTACTTATTTAGCAAAGAGTTTTGCCAAAAACATCCAGACAGAGGAGAAAATAAAATAAGTTAAAGTAAAATCAGACAATGTTACAGCAAGACACTTTTTATATCTTGTTTTTATACCTTGTTATACCTTGAAAATAAAATAAGTTAAAAATAAAATCAGACAATGTTAAAGTGAGAGACATTTTTTATACGTTGTTTTGCTTATTTTTTTTTTTTAACATCATCACAGGAGGACAGAAAAAAAAAAGAAAATTTTGTTTTCTTATTTAGCAAAAAATTTTGCCAAAAACATGCAGACAGAGGAGAAAATAAAATTTCATTGGTGAATGTAAACGCTGCAGTAATGGGATGGTTAAATGCTTCAAATTTATATAATTAGATTTCAAGGCAGTGGCAAGCATAATAAAAATAAAGAAAAACTATAAATTTCTTTAAAAATTTCCTTTATGGTGGTGCAGGTGTGCTAATTGGCCAAAAATAAAACTACAGCAAAAATAGAACATTATTGGAGGCAGCAGGTTTGCTAAGCAAAGTATAAAAAAAGTCTTGCCTAATAATAATAATACAAAATCTGAGGTAAACATGTCATTAGGTATATCACTGAATTAATATTGTATATTATGTGATAGTATTGGTGTATCTGCAGTAATAGTGTGTTGGCCTTACCTCTTCAGAACCTTTGGACAGAAGTAATTACTATTATTATTTATACTTTATATAATTATATCAAGTACACTCGATTCATTTAAAAAAAGCCTTAAATTACATTTACAACTTTAATTAAAATGCCTGGCGACATCCACGGGGGACCTGAAAATGAAACTGTGCGATTTTTCGCTGTATGTTTTCATTTATGTTTGATATTGATGTGTATTGTTTAAATTTTGTTGTAATATGTCAAAGCGCTACGTAAATAGCGCTTAATAAAAGAAAAAAAAATGTAGTGCATCTATTAACTTTTTACCTGCTATGTGGTGCTCTTTCAATATCTCCCATTGTTTCTCATTGATTTTCTTAACAGCTTCCTTTGATTGGTTGTACAGTTTTGTGCAGATCCCTTCCACTGAAGGTTTAGCTGCAGTAACAACATGCGCACCGCACTGCTTCTTTAAATGTTCAAGCCGTTCCTGGAAAATTGGCAGCATTTCAGAAACTTTGTTATTAAATGATTTTAATCACTGTAAAGCACACGGTTAATTTATTTCCTTAGCATTAACCAAATCTACTTTATTAATATATTTGTTGATGCAATACGTATCTAGAATGGTATTTGCCTTGTGTTGGGAAATAAAATATCTTGTTAATAATAATGTTAGCCTCAAACACATCAAGCCAACAAGGCTTCTAAGCACTTGTATTATTTCCCCCATCATTTGATCAAACCCCTATGAAACACACATTCAGTTCCGCCAGAGTAGCTAGCTAGTAAGGGGCACACTGTTAATAGTTTCTGTGGATTACCTTATACATATCTAGACTACAATAAGGCTGTCTTCTGATCCAATTAATAACATCTTCACATTGCCATTTCACAACCTTCCTGCTCTCTGGTGGTACATTTCTAGTGAAGGGAAAAAAGCAGACGGTTAAAAATGGAATAACACACTGTGAATATGTAAAGAGTAATATTTATATATGGCAGGCATTTGTTGATTAAATTCAAGCAGAAAAACTATTTATTTGACCAAATTATTAAAGCAATACACACATAAACCAACAACTGTCAAATTAGCTATTAACTACCAAATTATCATACTGTAGTGAAAAATATTTACCTTGACTCAACCATCTTTTTAGCAGCTTCAGCATAGCGAACCAACTGTTGTCTTGCATCTACTAAATAACGTACTCGAACCAACCTGATCAGATTAAGAAAATTTATAGACTAAATGAAACTGCCAACTTTGTAAACAAAACTAAATCATACTAAAAGGTAGAAATCCCATGCTACATACAGTTATTGAGACATTTAAGCCCGACTTGGATAAAATCTCTCAGAAGTTATTTTATGAAAATGCTTGATATCAGTGGTGATGGTTACTATTACAAGGCCTAGCCCTAGAATTAATCAAATACAATACATGTAAAATGTTGTTCAATGCCCTGTTCCTGAAGTCTCACCTGATTGGTATCTCATTCATAATTTCTTCAAATAACACTGATGATACAGCAGGGTCACAGTCTGAGGGCAGCATAGGGTCATTGCCCTTGTCTTTAAATATCCTTTCTAACAACCAAACATTGAAAGATTCTGCTGGTGCATCCACTCCTGAATAAAAATAATAAAAACAAAAATTATACTGTATAATTATTATATATATTTTATGTTTATTGAAGAGTGTCAACAACAATATTTTATTACTAGAAAAAAAAAAAACTTGAATGCATTAAAAAAAAACCGATAATATAAAACTACAAAATTCAAAATTTCTTGCAATGAGATACCATAAAACCTCAAATTGAAGCCCAATGGGCTTAATAATTGAAGCCCATGGGCTTCTTTTCAAGATAACATAGGCTGCTTTTAGTATATGATAGTATTAGTACAGTATATGATAGTATTAATACAGTACGTACACTGTACATAAATTTCAAAGAAGCTAAATAAATTAAAAACACGCTTGTTTATACACTCCATGATACAGATTGATGTTCAGTGGCCCTATTTATTGTTTTATAGCACTAATTCCGAAAATTTACAGCATATATTTTGAAAAGAAGTCCCCCTTTTTTACTTTGCAAAAGTGGCCTCGAAAAGAAGCCCATCCAAAGTTTGCAAAAAAAAAAGAAGCCCAGGGCTTCAATTCGAGGTTTTACTGTATCACTGTTTCTGAACTCTACAAACAAGTGCGTATACAAAAATAAACAATTAGGTATAAATTACTGATTAATTATAGCTAGTCCATGTCACATGATTTTTTAAAATGATTATTATATTAATATAAGTCATTGCAATATATTTGTATTAAGGATATCATATTAAAGCTAAATATCTCTTCAGTGCATTCTGCATCAAAAAAGTGTATGCTTTTTTTACAGACTTTTATATTTAAAAAACTAAGTTAAAACTCTATCCCAATTCATGTTCTGAAGTTATCGGACACAATAAAATTCATATTTAATATATGCTTGTGGATATTTAAGGTTTTTTTTCCAATAAAAATGTAGGTAGCAGTAGCAAGTACAATGTGTAACTGTGATTTGTTGATTGTTGAATAAATTATATATATTGTATGCACATAAAGTCTAAAATTTTGTAAGTTACCATGGAATTGTCCCCTGTGCATTTAAATAGGATGTCACAGTGTTACCGTCACAAAGTTACCAAAAAAGTAACGTCAGGACACTTTTTAAATTGCTATAATTTGTAAACGAAATAATTTTTTTTTTAAATTCATGTTTATGTTGTTCACATATATGCTTATGATTTGAATAATAAATTTTCTTTTATTTTGTTAAGTAATTTTTGAGAAATAAAAAAAAATATTACTTTTTTGGTAACTTCGGGACATTTTATATGGTAGTTCATTGCCAAGTCGCTGTAGCGGAACGAAGTACGCAAAATAAAATAAATTCATGAATATACCACATATAATGTTAATAATTACTAATCCAATCAGTTATGTTGGTAATGTATGTTAAAGAGCATAAATTAAACACTCTAAAAGTTGGCCTATTTTATTCATTTTTTTGGGAAAAAATAATATTAATTGTATTTCTTATGTAAAATTTAAGTGAGTATAAAAACTTGAAAACAAAGACCATTTCATGAAAGTTCAGAATTCCATCTTTAATTTGATACCAAATTTGGTAGGATACCACTATTTTAAAAATTTAGGTGCCATGTCCTGTTTTGCATGGAATTGCCCAGAAGTTATTTTATGAAAATGCTTGATATCAGTGATGATGGTTACTATTACAAGGCCTAGCCCTAGAATTAATCAAATACAATACATGTAAAGTGTTGTTCAATGCCCTGATCCTAAAGTCTCACCTGATTGGTATCTCATTCATAATTTCTTCAAATAACACTGATGATACAGCAGGGTCACAGTCTGAGGGCAGCATAGGGTCATTGCCCTTGTCTTTAAATATCCTTTCTAACAACCAAACATTGAAAGATTCTGCTGGTGCATCCACTCCTGAAATCATAGAGCCAATAAATTACTTTACATTTCTTTTACCTCTACACAAAACATGCGGCAACTCTTATTACAAAAAACCCAAAAAATATAGTACTTTCTGTAACATGTTTTTACTTAAAAAAAAGTACACAAAATTTGCTGTTACGAGAAATGGAAAAAAAAAATGTTTAATCAGCATATTTTCATTGAATTCTTACAAATAAAAAAATACACCATTTAAAAGTGCTTGCAGAGGAACACTAACAGTTATTATTAAATTATTGTTTATATTTATACTAATGCACTCTTTTTTGAATTATTATTTTGTAGTATAACAAAAAAAACTAGTCCATTAATGTGGCAATAATTTGCACAAGAGTTGTTGAGGCTACTAAACTTACCTTCTCTGGACTTGCACAACTCCTCATAGTGCTGCCTCAGTTTATCTGTTAACCTAGCACGTAATAATTCAATGTCATTGTGTGGTGGTACCATCAGCGAAGGCAGTCTCTCATAGATGACAGCATTAGTTGATAAAGTGAAATCCCATGAATGACTAACATAAGATATAAATGATTTACATGTTGTTTTTATTTAAGTTATTTAGCTTGTATTAGACTTTGTATTAGTGTTATGATCCTTTGCTCTAGGTCCAAGGCATTGGGCATTGAGGGCAGCATTCATAGTCAGAGAAACTACCTAGATTTGGGAAAATAACTGAGCCAGTTTTCACCTTATAAATTTCACTTTTTGAAATTGTTGATGTGTTAACCCATGTAATTATGCCTAAAACTAAAAGCAACACAATTATTTAGTTTAAATGTACAATTTTATCGAAATAAAATCAGAAACTGTAACTGAAACTGTATCATTACAGTATGTCAATTTAATTTTAATTTTATTTCTTATTTTATTTGTTCAAATTCTACAGCAACGAAAGTTGCCAATTGCAGAATTGAAACAATAAACTATATAAATATACTGTATATAAATATAAAAAATGTAGAAACAAAAAAATATAAAGTCTTAATTGCAATTTTAACGAAGTGAATGATGTTTACTGTACAGCACTAAGGATGTAATTAAGGGGTTTTTTTACTACATTGCAATAAAATGATAAAATCGAATTGAAATTTATAGTTGTAATAAAAGTCATAACACCAAATATTAGGCCTACTATTTAAAGCCAAGCTTCAGAGGAAATTTCTTTTTTGATAAATATTTGATTATTTTAAGACAAAAAACTGGGGAACGTTTAATAAGGTACATATTTTTGTACATTTAATAACTGGGAAAAAAAGGTGGAAAAAGGGTTTTTATACCCCTTTTACCAGGTTCTAAATTCAAATTTTTTTCCCTGGAGCCTGGCTTTAAAACCCACTTAGGAAATTCTGCAAAACATATTCTACTAAAATACACTACATGCAGATTGCTCAAACAGTCCAGGTGAATAAAATGGCATTGATTAAAGTAAAACTTTATTGTAATATATGAAGAACAAAGATAATCATTTTTGAAAACAGGTGTAAATACAATTAAAGATATACAGCTACTTGCATCTAATACAGTATTAACTAGAAAACTGAATAATTTATTTTCACTTTTATTTCAATATATAGTAGTAAATTATAATTAGTAACTGCAAACACTTTTCCTTGAAAATTAAAACAGTGTTAGCAATATTATTATTCTGATAGTCTGCATACTGTATACTGGACCATTTTCATACTGGCATAAAATGTAAAGATCTTTTGTAGTAAATTGCCTACAACAAATCAGTAAAAACTGAATTTTTAAAAATAGTTATGTTGATAACTTTAAAATATTTTAATTTTTGAGGCTTTTTAAAAATATATTTTTCAGGTAGTACTGTAGCAGTACCGTATATCTTCAACGTGAATGCAATTCATGACAACATGCATTGATGACACTTAAGGTGACACTGTAATTCAACAAACATATATAAAAACATTGTCACCATGGGACACCAACTGTGATCAAGCAGACCATTGGACATACCATTCAAGTAAAAATGGGGAGAATAGTGTTGGAGAACACTAAACTATCCACAGCTACAAATTAAAACAAGATAACATACAAAAAACAGAACAATTCAAATACAGTATTTGGGTCAACATAGTATAATGCTTAAACAATATAATACAAAAATAAAATATAACTATATGTAACTATATAAAATTTTCAGCAGGATATCTCCACCATCATCTGAAAAAACTGATGCACCTACAGTACAACAAAGGGAAGGGTATATTATTGTAATTTATGCGTACCCTCTGAAATTCATGACTGTCATGGCAGTAGGGCTGAGTGGGTGTTCGTCCATGGACGTTGTCCGCCTCATTCCAGCCTGACCAGGAGCACTGCCTGGGTTATCCGTCTGTATTCCCAATGGATCATGCTGAAGTGAAATCAACATAATTTTGAGATCAGAAGGATCCAGTGCTTTCAGGCCTTTGTATATCATTATCAATATGAAAACTGACATTTTTGCCAATCCTTTAATGAAGATTCTCATTACATTAAATAGTATGCAATATTCATTGTTCTATTACAGTTTTCATTGTTGATATCAGGTTGTATCTATATTAAAGTGATATACAAAAATCATGTAATCAGATAAAATACTTTGATTAAGAATATTAGTTCTAATACTTACTGTACCTTAAGTTTACAAAAATACAAATTATTTTAAACTATAAAATGCAGTTTTCCAATTTATTTCTCAATTAGTATTTAATAAAAATAATGACAATAAAAAGCGGACTTACAAAGCTTGGCGGTGACGATCCCAATACTGGCATATCCCATGTATTCTTTCCTGTGAATTTATTATAAAAGTATTCCCGGCCTTCTCGTCTACTCCAGAACCTTCTCCAGCCTGCCTCCAAAAGTTCAACAGGTAGGTTGTGAACACGATCAGGACTTTGTGGCGTCTGTGGCTGCGGCGATGGCATTGGATGGTTTACGATCAAAGGATGATGGTTAGTACCGCCATTTGGTCCTGGAACTGGATTTATAGGGGTACGTGGTAGAAAATGATGTGCAACTTTATTGTGATCTGCCCGTGGAGGTGTTCCAGTCATAATCGGGTTAGGAACTTTTCCCATGTTGTTATATATTTGCTTCTCCATGGTATGCAATTTTGTTCTAGGGTAGTAACAGAAATTTCATCATTTCATCTTTCACTTCTTTTATACTACACAAATAATAACCTGAAAATTAAAAAAAATTGAAATTACTGTAAATATTAAATTTTGATTACCCTTTAGACCAACTTGTTAGTCAAGAATTTTGGTCAAAAAAAATGTTTTAAAAAAACTATGCATGATGCAGTATGCACAGAATCAAGTACTGAAGTGTGAGGATCCAACATTTCTGTTTGAGAAACTGTAAAAATATCACCATCAAATGCTCCAATCTTAACATTAACACAAAATGAACTGAATGAATTTCATTTACCTATGATGATAAAAATAAGTCCTTATTTTTCCAATACATATCCCATGTACTGTAGATGTGCATGCAAAGCCTCTGGATCACATAACACCATTGTTGTTGGACTAACTTTGTAACTAGGGTAGAGAAGGGTCCTACTTACAAAGGTAGAACTATCACTCCTAGATATATAACTAGGCCTAGGGTTAGCCTAGTTCAGGCTTAGACATGTACAAGTACCATCACTCCCTGTTTTGTCAAAGGGAAGCAACCTAGCATTATTAATATATAATATGCCATGTACAACTAGCCTATAGTAAAAGTAAGGCTAAAAAAAACCCCATTTTTATTATGGAATATGATTGCATTTAATGTTATAGGCCTATTGCCACGAATGAGCTCTGATTTTAAGCTTAAATTTCCATCAGGCACGATGTGAATAAAACAACTGCGAAGGAAACATGCAATTATAAATTGTGTATTCAATTTCACAAGCTCAACAAATCAATCCATTCAGTACGCACCCAGGCGAATAGCCATTCAGCGCGTTTGTAAAAATACAAAGATGTAAACAATTGGAGCCTAACATTTAGAGAAAGTTTATGCTATAACTAGGTCATTCTAGCATGTTTGCAATAGCAAGCAAGAAACATAGAAATTCATAGCATGAAATTATATCATATTATACCTCATAGGCGATAGTATAAGCGTATTTCAGTGAAGAAATTCTCTGGAAAATTTCAGTGTACTCTACCCAAAATGGACGCCATCTCGCCTGTCACACAATTGCATGATGGGAAATTATGCAAAAACGCCATCTAGAGTTACAAATTCAGCTCGCGTTTTAAAATTTGTAGTCACATGTCAGTCTCTGAGTTGGGTATAGCCTAATAATTAGTACCTCCTTGAATTGGTGTACAGTATTTGTATTTCTCATCAAAAGCTCCTATTGCTAAGAATTAGACGAAAGATACTTATATTTGCTTTAAAAACAACTCCCTTTGATTAATTAAAAATATTCTACTACGATAAACTTACAATAATTATTAATAATAATTTAAAAAAAAGACTGTTGTTTGAAAACGTGACTTTTCGGCACTTACAATTTCTTCAGCTTATTGTTATCGTGTCGCTACTCGCCAACAGAGCATTGTTACAAAGATTGAAATTTAAAACAAGAATATTCAAAATAATCAATTAATTATAACTAAACAATAATTTACAATGTACACCCATAACGTGAACGATATTTTTTTTAAATCCAAATAACAAATACTGTATAATGATTTTATATACAGGGCACATATTGATTTAATGCATAAAAGTACAAGTACCGGGTAGGCCTACTACAAAATAAAACATACCAGTACTCGGTACTTTTATGTATTGATTTAATAATACGTACATAATTACCGAGTAGGTCCTGTTACTGTACTCGCGCGAATAAGCGCCCCGTTTGAATAAGCGTCCCTTAACGTCTGCAATGATCCTGCTAATCTGAATTGGCAGAGATTGCCAACACGCTATACAACCACCACCAGTAATTTCATCTGTTGTGTATTAATACCCCCAACATTCTTGTCATTATGAGACAGGTTCTCTCGACGATTACCTTTTCTTCACCAAACCATTCGTTTATCTTTGATTTAAAAAAAAAAAGTTCCCCTTGAATTTCCAATTTCCCATAAGCACCCCTTCAATTTTCATCTATTTCCATAAGCGTCCTCTCAATTTCCACTTTATTTTCATAAGCTCCCCGTTTGAATAAGCGCCCCTTAAAAAGAGCCGAAATATTTTAAGCGCCCGTCGCGCAAGTACGGTATGTTGTATTTTGTAGGCCTATTTATTTAAATCTTTTACAAAGTGTGCTATACATTTCCAGCGGGGGTTTTGGTATAGCGATTGCATAACTTGACTTGACTTTATTCAGTATATTAACATCAACAATAAAATCAAATAACAAAGAGTTTCAAAAAAGTTAATACAGACTAAAATAGGGAAAAATATTAACAATTAAAATTCAATATAATCTGATGTGCATATATGCACCGTGTGACCTCATTGCAGGAATATTATTTTATGTTTTAAAATTTAAATACATAATCAATTCACGTATGGAGGTGTTTGGGTGTCAACAGAGATTTTCTTCATTAATTTTTGTACACATTCGAACTGTGCCATCATTTGATGGCTAAAATGTTTCCGTAATTTTTTTTTAGTGATGAAGGAAGAGAGACATTGAAGACCAGCCTATATATTGCATTATAATATACACACATGAAGTTTTAAAACGTAGGCAATATTATAGCAATAATAATTTACTTCCTTAAAAGAAAACCTGAATTGAAAACTTTAGATGATTTTCGTTCACAAACGACTTGTATTTAGGTATAAAACCAAACGCATCGATTCGGTCATGCCTAATGCACTGTCTGGTGTATTTCTTTATGATAGGCATATTACTTTAAGAAAAAGATGTTATAATATTTTATACTGCCATCCTGAAAGGCGCATAACTACATTAATAAGAGTACTTATCTCTATATTAACATTTTAATTTAACCAAGGAACAGATTTAACTTACTTGGTCTTCAACGAGTTGAGGCCTTCAAAAAGCCAAAGTATGATATCTCATCGTAGTTTATAATAGCTGTGAATAGCACCTCACATGTTTAGAACCAGAGACACTGAATTCGATCTCCATGGTTCGGCGGACACACAGTGGTTAGCACGGTTAGCTTGAGTTCACACGAGAGAAATTTAAACGAGTCGGCAATGACGCTACGACTGGTAGCATTGCTTGCGATACAGTGCGCCCACTAGTGTGAGACTTAACTGCGCTGTTGCTGCATTCTCTTAATGGAAATTACTTAGGCCTATTTTATATTTATTTACCTAGTTTTTCCTCAGTTTGTCTATTAGTTAACCTTAGTAGGGTATTTTTATAATTTGACAACTTGGATTTCTGTTATAAAATACTGTAAACTTACTTGACTCGAAATGCATTCAAAGAATGAAATCTTTGTTGAAGAGGCGTGGTCACGCATTTCCATTGTTTGTCCCTTATAACAAAAGAACTCCATGATTCAATCAATAATTATATTTTACTTAGGTCTCAACACAAAAGAACGAGCCTATATAAGTAGGAGTAATTGTTACAAGCGAGAACTAAGCCACAACAATGTAGAAATACACGTAAATGGCCCAGCAAGAAAGCCAATTCAGAGTACACGAATATTTACAAAAACTGGATTCATTATATGCCATTTACTTGACTTTCCTACGGTAGAATTATGTTGACAAATCATTACACTGAAGCAAAATTTAACTGTATTTATAAAATTGAGGCATTGAGGTAGGCATATCCTATGAGAACTCGAGTTCTTGTGGAGTCAGGGTTTAACCTCGACTCCGGTAGCATAAAGGCAAGTTCATAATCATTTTGATGGTTTGAAGGGTGTGGTTTGGGCTATCAGTCTCATCCAACATGTCACAATTTCAGTAGAGCTATGGAGGCCCTAGATAACATACGGGGGTTATTTATCAAGAAAGACTGTATGAAAGACTTTTAAAAAAAATATTGTATTCCTTTTTTAAAAGGATAATATTAATTATTAACTTCAAATAAGAGACAAATTGAAACAATTTAGTGTTCGTTGATTTAATAGTAAACCAATAAAAAGACACCGTATTCCTTTCTTAAAAGGATAATATTAATTATTAGCTTCAAATAAGAGACAAATCGAAACAATTTAGTGTTCGTTGATTTAATATAATACTAAATTAATTTTATAACTTGTACCCTCCAAAAAAAACAAAAAAACAAAAACAAAAAAAGAAGCCAGTCCCTCAGTTTCACGGATAACTTATACTGCACTACATAAATTTACTAAGTAAGACATTCAAATATTAATGTTATTATTCAAGTTAAAAACGCAACACATCATCATGAATTTACAACCACGTCTCTGCATCAGGTTTTGTGAGTGGAGTCAAGTATATAAACGCAGCAGAAATCAAGTATATAAACGCAGCAGAAAGGCAGACAAAATAATTAAAAAAATGAATGGCTGGATAAATGAAGGAGTGAATGTTTGAAAGAACGAATGGATAACTGGATGAATGAACAAATAAATAAATAAATTATTGCAGTGAATAAATATAGTAATAAGTTATTAAATAAATAATTTTTAGCATATTGAAACACTAGAAAATGGTCCAATGTTGTTTATTATTATGCACCGAATCCAAACATAATATGTCGCATCTGCTACAAATTCTCCTTCAAATATGTATCTTGTGCTGTTCAAAATCCATGCTTTTGTGTTATCAACAAAGGCCTCTTGGATCCAGACTTCATACTGAATTTCCATTTCATGTTTCATAAAATATTTCAGGTTCCAAGGTGGTTGCCAGAATACTTCTAGACTAACAATATCTGCGGTCTTTGTCACTTTCTTACACTCCACTTCTTGAACCTTCCATGGATACAACTCAGAAGCAGATGCGTCAATACCTTTGTCTGATTTAGCTTCAGCCATGGCTTTCTTCAGTTTACTAATGAACGACTGAACATCCACAGTCGTATCTTGGTAAATTCTGAATAGCCATTCTGGATCATTGCAACAAAGGTGTAAAGGCACCTCTGAACTACTTAAAATTTTGTTCTGTTCTTCAAGAGGTAAGTGATCAATTCCCCCAAATTCTTTAGGCGCATTCCTATGAAAAACTGTGTTCTCCTTGTCCATATTTCGCCAAGCAAAGTAACTGATCTCTAACCCGGGAAGGGAAACTAATGTCTTATATGGCCTGTAATGTTCCGGGTTGACAGCATATGGAAAGATCTCCACTAGTTGAGCACCTTTTGGAAGGAACATCGAGAGAGCGAGAGCAGAACCATGAATGCCTATTAAGAGATTAGCAGACGAAATCTTACGAATTAACTCTACTAGACTAACGTCTTCGAGATACATCAACTGGATACTGACGCGCAGATGTCTGGCCAATTCCATCACTAATTCTCCTTCATTCAATATCAATCGATTGGTTTGACGTCCAATCAAGATTCCATTTAGTTTATTTTGCGAAAACTCCTCACTTGTTACACCTATTTTACTTTTCAAATAGGCTGTGAAAAGTTCAATAGTTCTGGCGGTGATTCTGAAATTACTGAGGGGTCCTTGTGGTTTTTCGAATCCATACTGGTACCAAGTGGTCTCGTTGGATAAGCCAATAAAAGCCTTCTCGAAACAAACCAGGGCGTTTCCCGACTTATTTAGATCGTGTTTCAGTAAAGGTAACTGAGATGAAAATAATTTGTACAAATCGAAATATTCTAGCTCTTTGTGTCCGTCAAAGAGAACAAGACGAGTGTTGGATGTGTTGATATCATAATGAAGCTCAGACAGAATATGAAACAGTGGCAAGAGATCATCGTGGAAAACGTGCATCAAGTTAGAAGGATTGAATCGGTTGAAGATTAAACTGTTTCCTTGTAAAAGAAAGATTTTGTCGAAGTTTAGAATAGCCTCCACTGGTATATCGACGTAATTGAAATACTGGGTGTTATGGTTCGGCACAGATGATAGGTCGGCAAGTGCTGGACTGAATCGATCGCGAGGAATCCCTGACTGCATGGTTTTGGACCCGTGAAAGAAAATAAACTCTTCATATCGAGGAATGTAACACAGATGACGAAACTTACAAGTTCTATCAATGTTACTCTCACCTCGACACCAACCAGATGTTCCGCCAATGAGTATGTTTGGGTCAACTTCTATGAAGCCAGGGTGACTTTCCACGTTTTTCATAGCAGTAGAGCAGTTAGCATCAATGGCTGTCAGTCTCTCATTAAGAAGTTTGTTCTTGTAACTCATGAACGCCAGGCCAATAATTCCAAGAGCGATTATCAACTCGTAACCATTCATTTTAGTACAGTACACGTACGACGTAACTCTGCCTAAATACACCACAGTAACGATTCCCAATAATAATCTTTAATTTCTACAGTCTACTTTTGTTAAACGCGGGCATTATTTCATATGTTCAGCCAGTTTCGAATAGATTACCACATCATTCAATACAACGTTGATTAAAACGCAATTCTCAAATCCTTGGCAACAATTAAGTATTCTAGTGCCGCCATCTTCGCACACGTCACACGCTCTGCATAATCTACGTATTCGACCTGCAAAATATAAACAGCAAAAATCAATAAAAAATAGTTTAAGTGAATAATATTTTCCATTTAATGCATTATATTACACCTCATTGAACCAAACTTGAGTCCATCATCTCTGGTTAAAACTTGATGAAACAAATTTTCTTTAGTCGGTATCTATACACACAGAAATGTAGCTTTGGTTGATTCGTGCTTCTAAATTTTAAATTACAAAATACGTACCTCATAACCTCTTAAAAAATAGCGCAGTTATAAGCTGGTTTCTAATGCAATCATGAAATATTAACCGATTGGAAATCGCCTCTTAGTAATATAAATTAATACATCTGCCATTTGATACTATAAAATAATTTATACAATATTTCCATGGAAGTATAAAAATATAAAATCTAATCTTATACTGTACTGCAATATTCTTTTCTCTGTCTTTAGAGAATCATAAAAATAACTCCATGCAGTGCGCCATCATCATCCACCACGATGATATGTCATGTACAATTGTACATCGAATTATTCTTCAGCGTGCGTTAAGCAACCACTCGTGGCAACACGTTATAATCTCTTATACTGATAACACTCGACTATCTTCCAATTCCACTAACACGAACATTTTAATTCAATCACATGAATAAATTTGCATTACATTAGTTTAGTCACGCATGCGTTAACATCCCTGGATATATCTGCGATCACAACTCGCTTTTATCGATCATAAGTGATTCGTGAATAGAAGAAAACACAAGAGCTACGAAGAGAAACAAAATTGGTTTACAATATGGCATCAGAGGAGATTGCAAATACAACTGATACTGCAACAGCAGAAAATGGAGACGGTGAGGAAAAAGGCAATATTGAAACGGCAACTGAAGCAGAGGATATAAATGAAATACGAGCTGTGTTCTTGACGGCGTTTGGTGGTCTGCATCGGATGAAAGTCCAGAAGATACCTGAACCAACTCCTCTGGAAGGAGAAGTTGTCGTACGTGTGAAGGCATGGTACGTTACTCCGTAAATGTTTTCTATGAATGATTTTAATTTCTTGAAAATAATAATGAGGAACATGCGTACAAAATTATGAATATATTGTATTATTGTTATCATAATCATTATCATCAACATCATCATAACTATTATGAGTATTATTATTATTAATAGTCTTCTTATTATTATTGTTATTGTTATTGTTATTATTATTATTATTATTATTATTATTACATTATTATTATTATTATTATTATTATTATTATTATTATTATTATTATTATTATTATTATCAGCAGCATTATTACAAGTTTTTGATATTGTTATTCCCAATTCAATTCAATTTATTCCAGTAAATGTTAATATAGCAATAAAATACAAAATATAATAAAAAAAAAGATGAAATGGACAACCATAACAAGCACAAAGAGCTTGTACAAACGTGGTGTCCAATACTATTTAAAAAGTTAAATAAAATATGTTTAAAATTAAAAAGCATTCAATAATATAATTGAAATATTTCAGATTAGGATATAATACGAAGATGTATAAAATTCAAAATAATATAATTGAAATATTTCAGATTAGGATATAATACGAAGATGTATAAAATTCAAAATACAAAATTAAAAAGAAAAGATACCAATAGGTTCTCGACAGGGTAAGGCAATATTACAGTATTGCGAAATATATAACATTATAAAGGCATAGAAAAAAGAAAATCGGAAGTGTATTTTAAATATAATCGCTGAGTAAATTAATTTTATACAATTGTTTAAAAACGTGATTGAACACGCAGATTTTAAGTCATTATTAATGTTGTTCCAAATACGAGGCCCTGAAACAGCAACACTGTTATTGATAATGAAAAATAGGTGAATCTTCGATGATGGCAATTGAGTAAAAATAAAAAATAAAATATTTCGACCTGCTACCAAAATTATATAAATTACTACAGAAGAAGACCTGAATATTACTAAAATTTGTTCCTCTGAATATATGACCACAATTACAGTACCGATTTCTTGATTTCCAATTTACAAAAACAATAACAAGGATTTACAAGCAGAAGAGTTCTGGATAAGTATGACAAGTAATAACAACAACTCTGTGTAACTGTCAGGATGGCCGAGCGGTCTAAGGCGCCAGACTCAAGTAAAACTTGCTTTGTATACTGAAGCTTTGGGAATTCTGGTCTCCGAATGGAGGCGTGGGTTCGAATCCCACTTCTGACACTTCCTTTTTTTTACTTTTTTAAGGGTTCCCCAAAATCCATAACACAGCTTCTCTTAGTCAAAGGTATGAAAAAAGCCAAGTCTATTACTCCACGCTTCACCAACCTTTAATTAGGATTATTTTATAGCATCATAAGAATAATTTATAACACTAAAAGGAACTTTTCTTTGAACTGCGCCATTTCCTCCAGATTAGATATGAAATACTGGGCTTTGTACAATGACAATAAACTTGGCATATACATTAAGAGTGTCTACTAACTAAGCTGCACCACATATTCGTCAATTTATTCAAACAATCAAACATTTAATCGATCACTCGGTCAAATACGATGCATGCAATCGTCACTGGAATATTCACCGAGACTGTAAGTGGAACGGAACAAGAGCCTTCGAAACACGTCGGTAATATTACTACAAAGACGAATACCAATGGAGTTTCTTTTTTTAATGTATTAATCAATATTAATATGCCGATCTGCATTTGAGATACTGAAGCTATAGGTTTTTACATTGGAAGAAGAAAATTAACACGAATAACTTAAGCAGCCATTGATACGATAAGTGCACTAACGCCCATGACGTCATGAAAGTGCAATTTCAAGCCAGATACTTTGTAAAGATAACTAAAACCAATTTGCTTCTAAATACATTAATACTATATTGTACAATCTTATCTAAATATACTACATCACGCTAATGTTGACAAATTTAAAATAGGTATTTCGAGCATCTAAACAGCTCATTTATCACTGGCACTATTAATGAAAATATACTGTAGCAGGCGCTTAACTGTGTCTGCGCATGCCCATTGCAGTGTGTGAAATCTTTCTTGATTACGTCACATTGGTGAGCAGGTAGTCTTAATACATTTAATATTATTGGCAAGGTTATAGAATTTAAATAGTTTGAATATTTGACTAATTGCTTAGTTGACATGATCTATTAGCAATAATATCGTCATCTCTTTAACGTGTAGCCTATTATAAAACTAGGTCTGTTTATTCCTTTAAAATACGGTCAATGGAAAATAATAGGCTATATAAAATACATATAAATCTAATGTTCTGTATTTTTAATACCAGTTAAGATAGAGCCAAATTTAACTTGATTCATACAAACGAATTCATCGTTTTTCCCCATTAATATCTAAGTGACACACACGTCCCTAAAGCGTAATTGTCTGTTTCTATTATAGGCTAAAATTGTTTTCGTATATATTTCTGTAAATGGGTCTCAGCCTCGCTTTCTAGATTTTCATATTAAGATACACAATCGACATATTCCGTTTGAAATTCCGAATCGCAGAAATGTATTATCCTGGAGATTTTCGCTTCGGTTAAGATGCATTTATCATGAGTACTGTGTCTACGGTGATATGAAAAGGTTTTAAAATCTGGCTATTGGATCCGCCCCTGTCGGTATAATCATATGCCCAATTCATTAATTCACTATGACTTCAAGCGTTTGCTGTATCAACTATTCAAATTTAAATTAAGAAATTTCTTGTTGAGAAGTACAATAAATACATTTACTTTACCGTTAACATCACGAATCTACGTTCATTGAAAAACAGGTCGGAAAAAATCAGAAAAAAAGTACTATTTGCGTAAGACTTACGTCACCATTAACTAGTGTAAATAAAGAAAATAATGAATCTGTGTAGTAAATAACGAAATGTTTATGAATAACTCTTAGCTTGAAAAGGTGACTAAACGTTGCGCACCAGAAAGGTCAATGCGTGCCCGGGGGCCTTTGCGAATGGCCAATATTGTAGGCTACTATTTCAATAACAACTCTCAGTATTCTTCCGATACACTAAAGTAGGATAAAGAATTATCGTTACAAGCGAAATCACTTCGAGCCCATGTTTATCTTTCTATTCTGTAAATAGGCCTATACTGAGCTCAATCCTACGATTGCCTAGGATGCAATTCGTAGATCTTGATATCGAGACGCGCTCGTATACGTACTTATATACGCGTGCAGTTATATGACATGAACAGAATACAACTTTAATGGCAGAGTTTTCAGGATATGGAAGTTACGCTTCTATAATGGCAAGGGCATTAATTAGTAGGCCTATGACGTTATCTTGTATTTTAGGAACATAAGAAAACAAAACATAACAATTTCTCCCATAGGCTCTCCTACCACCCACACCATACATGCGTAGGCTTTGAGGTTATCGTAACTGAATTTATCATAATACAGTATAATTAACTATTGAATGATGGTAAATATTATTGTCATATTATTTATCATTCATGCTACGTAGGCGTAAGTTTCAATAACATAGGTGAATGTAAACAAAGTGTTTAAATCTATAGCTTGTATATTGATGATGATAATAATAATGTTATGAAATGATTACGATAATGATGACGATTATGATAACATGGCTACGATTATGTTCCTGAGTACGAATACGATGTTTAATATGATAATGTTGATGACAACGATCATATGCAACTGTAATAGTTCACATATGATAAAGTCATCATCGTTTTAATCGCGAATTTTATATATGATGATTTTAAAAACTTATTACTGCACTTTAGAAATATAAACCGAAGGGAAATAAATGAAAAAGCCAACGCCTTACATAATATTCGCGCGAACAAGTTACACATACTCGCACATTCGTACAGGCTCAAAATAGCGGTATTGATTGAGCAGTGTTGATGATGATGTTGTTGCTGTTGATGTTTGCTGCTGAAGTCAGTCAGTGAAGTTTTTGTTGCGGTCTGTTGCCGTCGGTGCTGCTGCTGCTTTTTGTTCTTGTTGCTACTGTTTGTTGATGTCATACTGCTGCTATGTTGTTGCTGCTGGTGGTAGGCCTACTGTTGAATGCTGCTTGTGGTAGTCCCTACTGTTGAATTTCTGCTGGTGGTACCTGTACTGTTGTTGACATGTTACTATTGCTTTTGTAGTTAATATTGATGATGATGATGTTATTACTGCTGTTGTTTATACCTATGCTGTTGTTTCTGCTTTTACTGTTGCTTTTATTGTAGTTGTTGATGTTTTTGTTGTTACTTTTAGTAGTAATCTTACTATCTATAGGTATGGTTTTAAGTTCGAATGGTTTATGGGATGAACATGAACAAAATCTTGTAAGTAAACCAATAATATACGTACTGTTTGTACCGATTTGATCCGTTATCAAAGGATCTTCCAACAGATCCGTTGATAATGGATCAAAAGGTTACAAAGAGTATGTATATTATTGGTTTATACAAGAATTTGTTATCTGTTTTCAATTCTTTGGATTCATCAATTAACAAACTCTAACAAGGTTAGATTGTGATTGTTTTTTACAAACACTATTGTAATTATTTTATTTTTTGAATATTTTTTGAATATGTATTATTTGAATCTGTTAATCTATAAAGAGTAAGTGAATTGATATTCAATTGTTATCGCTCATCATTACGTTCTTTTACGTTTGACATCATTTGAAGAACCCAGTGGCACAATCCCATTGTAAATTGAGAAATCCTGAAGTAAAACATTGCATTGCAAAACATTAAAATACCTTCAAATGCTTCATTTTATCAGAATGATATTATTTTGGACTACACAAAGGGCCTTCAAACTTGTTGACAGTAACATGCTGAAGGCGAATTCCGAAAAGGACCACATTCGCGTCACATTTTTGTAAAGCATCTCAGTTGTGTGTGAAACATCTGCTGATCATGACATCTTTCCAGTAAACTATGAATTCTTTCCGCTAAATGACGCATCGGCTCAGTACAGCTTTGCGAAAGAATTATATGA